AAATAAATGAACAGATAAATGAGAAAATAAATCAGTGACCTAGATTGAGAATTGCAATAGTAATTCAGAAAGAAAGTAGAAAAAAATAAAAATTGAAAATTAAAACTATATGGCATTTCAGATAAATGACAAGATGCTCCTCACACTCATGTATTAAATTTTGCTTTGCAGTAAGACTTAATAATAACAACATAAGAAAATTTTACTGAGCTGGAAATAGGAGTCACAATTTGTTTCTCCTTTTTTCATTTATTTATTAACATCACTTTCCTTAAAAAATTATATGATACATTGAAAACTTTGTATAGGTTGGATTTTTAAAAGGAGTAAACTGCAAACTTACAGCAACAGTGACAGATTTCACATTATTGTTGAAGCTTGGGGGTACAGTTTTGTCAGTAAATAATATTCAAAACCTATAGAAGACCTATAAAATTGTGAATTTATATTCTAAAACATAATTACATGTTTTAGTTTGAGAATTTTGTCAATTTAGTTATTACAGTATTTTTTCTTTTGACTTCCCAGACTGTGATTTTTATTTCTAGAAGTTCAGTTAGATGTTTTACATTTTCTGTAGGGCATAGAAGAAAGGTACATGGAGCTCTCAAAGATTAATAAAAAAAATTAATAGAAAAATAAGGGAAAATCTTCTCGGTGCCTGGGAATGGGATTGGTCCAACATCAAGGCCTGGATGCCCGGGACCACATGTGGAGTCAAGACCACAGCTGACCCTTAAGGGAGGAGGGAAGTCCATTCTAGGGAAATGGTCCCCCCAATACCAGAATCTACAAATGACAGAGATCTCTCCTGTCCTAGGCAGAAGCTCCAAACAGAGGGAAAGCCAATTCCACGCACAACCTGGGGCCTCAGGGTAAGGGGATGTGGGAATGCAGCTGCTCAGAGAAGGCCGAAACTACCGCCCAACATCAAACTCCTCATCTACTCTGCTCCATTATCAGCTACCGGCAGAGGAATGCTCCACCTGCAGCCACAGCTCTCAGCAGGGGACCGAAGCCCAAAGCTCATGTGAGCATGGCTCTTTTTTACCGTTTTTGTTTTGTTTTGTCTTTTGCCTTCTGCTTATTTGCTTTTTTCTTTCATCGGAATAAAACATTCACACCTTCAGTAGTCTTTAAAGGGAGCGACACATTCTGAACTGCAGCATCTGAAAAGAGCTGAGTCACTTCTTACTCCTGGTGTGCGGAGCTGCTTTGTTCCCTTCACTAGTGACTCAGGATGCTGGAGGCTCTACCGTTGCACTTTTAGGATTGACAGGGCATGAAGAAATAACAGCAAATCATGGAGAGAGTCTTAGATCTTCTTCCAAAGTGGCATGTCATTGGGCTACTCTGATCTTTGTGTGACAAGTCCAATCCTATCAAAAAAAAAAAAAAAAAATCTAAGAGAAAATTGGTATTTGTTTACATTAAAACTTAGCCATGAGACTCTCTTTTAAATTACTAGCAGATTTCTTAACAAAATACAATTTATATATTTTTTTCAGCAAGTAGAATGGAAATAATACTGGAACTGGAGTTAAGGAGGTTCACAGCTGCCCTGTGGGTGCTGGGAATCAAACCCAGGTCCTCTGCAAGAGCAGTCAGTGCTCTTAACTGCTGAGCCATCTCTCCAGCCCCCAAATACCACTTTTACAGCAGTAAGAGAAAACCAAATGAAATCTCCAGAGAAAGGCTATATTGAAAGAAACACAGGCTTTCACTTTGCTGAGCTTGGCAAGTTGAACAGGAATCCCTAAAGGGAAGAGAATGTGATGGATTTGAGAGTTTGATCCTCAGGACTCTCTTGATGGAAGGTAAGAACCAGCTCCAACACATTGTTCTCTGACCTTCACGCACACGTGCACCCACACAAATACACAAATAAAAAAAAATTAAAGCTTAAGAGAGAAACAGGGAAGAGCTAGTGAGATGAAGTCACTGCTGATAGCCGGGAAAGTGAGGTTGGGAGAGAAGATTGAAGGACAATACGCATTGTTTGAAGTCTAAGTATGGTCTGTCTTCATTTTTGTTTTATAATAATAGAAATCTGCCTATTCCATTAAATGCTGAGAAGCAGAATTTAACAGGTACTTAGCACTTTAACAGGATGATTTAAGGAAAGCAAATAATATGAAAGAATGTCCAGTAGTGCAGAACCATAAGAGTTGTCACAATCTTGTCACGTGCCTGTCCCTTGCTTCATTGTGCGGGTGCCTACAAGTAGTTTATTAACAACTATTTCAATGTTAAGATGCAGCATAATTATTTTCGAAATTATTGGTTTTATTTTGCATTTTCTCCAGGATTTTATGACTTCTAGTTGCTCTAGATTCCCATCAAATCCTGATATGCTCAGTCATTTCAGTCTTAGTTATCTTTATATGGATGCACGAAGGACCTTCCTTATCTTTGCGAGGTACATTCCAAACTGCTTAGTGGATGGTTAAAGCTGCACACAGTCAAATACTCCATATTTTTCCATCTACTCTTACCACACAGCTCTGCAACTACATCATATGATTTTTATTTATCAAGTTAGAAACTTTCATTTTTTTCATAAATTTTTGACCTATCTGAATTTTTGGCATATTAAATTTCCAGCATGACTACTTTGCATTTGGTGACTACTGTTAGAGATAAGTGAATACCAGCAGTCACATGACAGTCCCTATGATTGGATCACTGAGTGACTTGTGGACAGGTGGTAGAAGGACACCAACACTGTGAAGGAAGTGGTAGTCAGTGTCCTGGTCAGAAGAGAACAGACAGCCAGGATTTGTTCATGCTATTGATACTGGTGTGAAGTTCAAAACTTACGAATTGTTTATACTTACAGCTTTCCACTTAGTATATTTAGGTACATGTTGACCACAAGGAGCTGCAACCTCAGAAGGTAAAATTAAGAAAGAAGAGATGACTATTCTAGTATCATCTCCTTTGGGCTTCCCTGATAACTAGTGATATCCAGCATCATTTTACATCAATGAACACTTTTGTGACGTATGTGATCAATTTTTATATGGTCTGTTTTATAACATCAAATGCTAAGTATATTATGATACACAAATAATACTAAAACAGTGATTTAAAATTTTATTTCCGATATTTCCTAGTTATTTACTAAAGAAATATATATCTGATGCTTCAGTATAACTCTTACATTCCTAAGAATGTGTCAGATTCATGTGTTTTTTATAGTTGCCTTGTGGATTCACTTCTTACTGTCTGCCTGCAGGGGCTGGGACCTACCATGCACTGCTAAACTTCAATGGCAATAATTGGCATTCATGGCTCATTTTTAACATTCGTTGAAAATATTTTATGTTTCATTGTTGAAATAAATTATATAGTTGTTGGAGGTGATTTATCAGCCAGAAGAATTTTCTTAATATTTCTAGCTTGCTGAATTATTTCATTGTGATCACAGTTTCCATTTTGCTTGATATATTTTCCAAATTGATTGAAGTGTTTTGGTTTTTCTCCTGTTAATATAGTGACTTACACTAATTTCATTCCTTCTCAAATGTAAAATAAATCTTATGTCACTACAGAAATACTTGCCCATACTCTATCATTCTATTGACATGTCACTAAATTTCATTTCGTTTTTCATTTGCTGGTTTTTTTTGTGTGTTGGGGTATTTTTGACATTGTCTCCCTAGCCTCAGCCTACTTGGAGCTCACTATAACTGGCCTCAATCTCAGAGATCAGTCTGCTTCTGCCTCCTGAGTGCTGAGGTTAAAGGTGTGTGTCACCATACCTGGCTTTAAATTTTGCTTATAATTTAAAAAATATTTGCCTGTGTAATCATGAAGACTATTAATGTATGATTTGTCTATTTATCATATTTTGAAATTAAGTTCTTTTATGGCTTCACTCTCTACAGCATTTGGCTTCTGGTCATGTGATTTCATACGACACAGTAATACTCTCTAGTCTTCTAGAGCAACGGAAAATGAAGTAGATGTTCAGAAGGGCACTCCTCTTCCTGTACCTGCAGTGTTGTCCTGATGCTTATGTTCATCTCCTGATTCCCAGAGTGGTCCATCAAATACAGGAGTTTTCAAATTTTATTTTGAATACCTATGGGGTCACTGAAATTCGGATCCATTATTTTTAGTTAGAATATGTTTCAAAGGATGGTTAGATTTTTAATTTATGAAGAGTAACTAATGTGATCAGGGCTTATGAGTGTGATATATGAATACATATTCTAATCTTTTCATATCTGAACCCTTTATAGCTAGTTTCACTGATTCTTAATATAGATATTGAATTACTCTAAAATTGAGCAAGGGGAAGCTCAGATGAGCAAAATTCTTAACATTTCTTTTGTGTTGTTTAATTTAGAAAAATTCCTAGTATCTTTCACCATATAAGATAAAGGAAAGCTGCTTATTAAATATTTAGGAAATTATCAAAAAAATAGGTAAAATGAGGAACAAGGAACAAGCCTATGTTTAAACGAGTCTGCATTTCTCTAACCATCCAATTTAGATACAATCGTCATGGGATTACTTCCTGATTTTTGTTCATCCCTTAATTCAGTCAACAAACACCCTTCAATAACTGATTTCCATAGATAGGTTTATATAAGACAGACTTTGCCAATGTGCTCATCTAAGTTATGGTCAAGTGGAAAGTGTTCATAGTAGAGTCAAGTGGAAACTAGAGGTGAACTGTTAAGGACAACTAAGGTGTCAGGTTAGGTAAAGTTTCAGTGTTAACCACAGGAAATCTGAAAGTTTATTACCTAATAGTGAGTTTTTTGCCATCTTTAAGAGAAACACATAGAAAATTAAGAGCATTCGTTTTGGTTGACAGGAAAACTCACAAACTTACTTACATCTAGTATTTGTAACATACTTATCTTTAGTTCCTCCTACATCACTTCAAAGTGCCACCTGAAAAAACCGAGATATTTATTCGGTCCCCAGTGGCTAAGGAAATGCCAGGCTTAATTTTATGGCCACTGGTATCCTGACATGATCCAATCAAGAGCACCTGATCCTTTAAGATATCACTATTTCATGACTCTTAGGACACTCTTTTCCTAAGAACACTCCAATATTGACCTCAGAAAAGTGTATTTTTTACATAAATAATCCTAAGGAATGCTGGAAAACACAAAAGGATATTGAAGAGTGGATTACAGCTTTCTTCATAAGGTATATAAATTGGAGGCTATATTAATGTGTGATTATATCTTTAAACTTATCAAACTTCAAGGTATTTTAATTAATAATTAATAAATTAATTACTAGTATAGTTAATATTTGACACTAAGACAATTTAGATGTTCCTAAAGCAAATTAACATGCTAATTTTCTATGTGTAAACCTCTGTACCCCAAATCTATGGAAACATTTCTATGAGAACTTTTTTGCTTTCAGATAATAGCTATAGTTCTCAATATATGAGCCACTCATGAAAGACTTTCAGGATGACTTTGTTGACCAGAGTCAGACTTGGATGAATACCCTTTAGAGTTCATCTTCAGCGTTGATATTCTTAGACTATACAGTTTTAGAATTCTGGAATGTATAGTCTGTATGGCATCAAATAAAAGCCTAATACATTTAGCGAGGTCAACTTATAATTTTTTTGAATAAGCTTGAAGTACTACAATACATGTTTCCCAAATATACTTGCTTTAATAATAAAAAGGTTTTATGGAGAAAATAAAATCTTGCACAATATTGTTGGAATGTAAATTAATACAGCAATATAGAAATCTTCATGGAGGTTTCTTAGAGAACTAAACGATTATTATTATACCCAACAACTCTACTTCTGAATATTTACCTTAAAGAGTTCCTATAATTATTAGAAGATATACCTATGCTCTAAACTTTAGTTGCAACTGTGTTCACAACAGCTAGATATAGAATCAACCTAAATGTCCATCATTAGATAATAGGAAATGACAATATAATGCACAGACACAAAAGAATATTTCTTCCTTAGAAAAGAAATAAAATTTCTTATTTGCAACACATTAATGGGATTGGAGAGCATTATGCTCTATGAACTGGCCTAGACAGGGGAAGCAAATATGTTATCATTTTTATAAAATATAAGAGAAATTGAAATATAAGAGAAAGAAATTGAATATAAGAGAAAGGCGGGGGGAGCTGAGGGTAATGGGGAGGGAGGAGAGGAGACAAAGGGAAGACAGGAGAGGAGGGGAGGCGAGAGGAGAGGAGGGGAGTGAAGGTGAGTGGAGGGGAGGGGAGGGGAGTGGAGTGGAGTGGAGCGGAGGGGAGGGAGAAAAAAGAAGAGTGGACTAGCGATTACTACTGTCTGGGTGCTGGAGAATATGGGCGGATGATGTTCAAAGTGCATCAGTCCTCAATGGGACAGAAGGAAATGGCT